CTCGCCGGCCCCGGCCACACCGCGCGCGGACCTTCTGCATCACCTCGTTTCGCCGCTCTCGCCACTCTCCGCCTCGAGGCGCTGCTCTTCTACAGTTCTTTGTGCGTCGAGTTCTACTTGTGTACTGTGGCGCGGGGCGGGGCGCTGCGGGGCGGACGCGCGGAGCTCAGTTGGGGCCGTGAGGTCCCCCTCCTCTCCCCTCTCTGCGGCGACGACATGTAGCCGGGGCGGCGAGGGGCCGAAAAACGCTGACGAGACGTGATCGAGACCTTACAGCTTGATGGATGGGACGGAACTGGACGGGGCGACGCGCCCACTGGGTGTGGCGGGGAGCGGGGCGGGCGGGGCGCCTGGGCGGGGCAGATGGCGATGCAGTGGTCGCCACCCCGATGCAGAGGGTGGTGGTGTAGGTGGCGCAGGAGGGGGAGCAGCAGCAAGGGAGGCGGCTCGCCCGCGCGGGAAGACTTCGGAACGAGTTCGTCGACCTCAATATGCGATGGGTGATTTTTCATAGCTGCTGGATATAGGGATAGCAGGGCAGGGAGCAGGGCGGCCGCAAGCGACCGACAGATTCCGATAAAGCAGCGGTATAGGCAAGGCAGCAGCAGCGGTGGCGGTGGTAGTTCTGGTGGACATGCCAGCATGCCAGCGCTACGCTGCTGCACAGCGGGGCCGCTGTGCCGAGCAGACAGCCAACGCAAGCCGGGGCGCCTCTTTGATATGAAGCGAATACGTCGTGAATACGCTCCCCCTTCCCCACCCCCTGTATGGGTCGCACTTCAATGCCTCGCACCGGGACGCTGCAGCTGTCCTGCTTTCATAGCGGCGCTGCGTCCAATCTGCTAAGAGAAAGCGCCGGCGCCTCTCCCTGTACTCCCCGCGAGTCTGTCTCTACCTTTCCTCTCTCGATCGCTTTCTTTCCTGGTCCGTTGGGCCTTCCTCACGCTATACTTCCCCCTGGCGCTTCTTCTCTCTCTCTCTCTCTCCCCCCCCCCCCCCCCTTCTCTCCCTCACTCCCTCTCTAGCTCACTCCTTGCATAGCTCTGCGCCATGCCTCCGTTGCTCTGCCTGTCTGACGTGGAAGATGGAAGGTGTTGTATTAATTCATACAGTAGCTTGAGTGTGTGTGTGTGCCTGTTTCTGTCTGCTAGTGTGTTTCTGTGAGAGAGGGAGAGAGACTTTGTGTGTGTGTGTGTGCATCGAGGGGTATTGTCGGGAGGTAGCACGCCGTTAGCCGTGCGTCCCCGTAACCTGATGTATAATGCATCGCCGGGTAAATATAATCAAGCTCGCGAGGATGGGGTGGGGGGGGGCACTCGAGGGAGAGCTGAAAAAATGAGGTAGAAAGACCGACCAATTCGAGGCACTCAGCAACCTTCCCCGTGTGAACAAGTCGCGCGTGTTGTCGGCGCGGTGATAGGGCGCAGGCAGCGTCAGGGCTGTGATGACTGCCGCCTGTGGTGCGGAGGATAGGCAAACCGATACACAGGTATGCAGTGCCTAGGCCTGGTCAGGGGCGCGGGGGAGGCGCGGTCTGACAGTTGGTCTGCTGCGGGTGGCGGGGGCAGGCTTGCAGGGCGGGGTGGCACCCAGCACAACGGAGCGTCGAGCTCCCTTTCATCCATTTCACCTTTTCCAAGCCACTGCACTCCACTGGCCTCGCCTCTCCCTTCCTCTCTGTCTCTCTCTCTCTCTCTCTCTCACTCACACCACCCGTTCCCTCTGGATCAGTACCATTCTTCTCCGCTCGCACTCCTTTTTCCTCTCGTTTTCACTCATCCCTGGCCTCGGGATTTGTTTCCGACCGAACGGCCACCGTTTAGCCTTGTAATCGCCCCCGAGAAAACGCCGAGGACAACAATCTAACGAGGAATGTGCTTTCTTGCCTGTTGCAGAACTAAAAGTGTCGACGCTACCGCCGACCACGACGACGACCACTACGACCACCACGACAACAACAACGACCACGACCCCGAGGCCGAGGACCACAAGTAAGTAGATATCAGATGAGACAACTTAACCATGAGGAAAAGTATCTTAAAATACCCTCACGATTGAACGTCAGGTGTTTGCCTCGCGAAGCTAATATGACTTTCTCCTCCAGCAACTCACCGCCCGAGGACGACTCCGGGCACCAACAACTGGCCTCCCCTTCGATCCACTCGTGAGTATCCGTTTGCGTTTTCCGCGTCATCGATAAAGTCCGCCGATTCCGCATCCATGCTGATCGTCTAAATGCTCTTCCCGCAGCGCCCCAGGAGAACATGATGCGCTCGTCCAACGACCTGGACAACACGATCCGCTCCGGGGCGAGCCAGCGGTCGGGCGCGCGCTCGGCCGGCGCGGACCAGCGGCGCAGCGTGCTGCTCGAGGTGGTGTTCGACTTCCTGCTCGTGCTCGTGCTCTTCCTCGTCCGGTGACGAGGGGGGTAACTCTCCACTGCGCGCCGCCGCCGCCCCGCCGCGCCACGCCGCGCCAGAGCGCGCTGTCTGGCCTCCGGGGCGCCGTCATCTCTCAAGCAAAGACTTAGTGCTGATATCGGACGTATATCGAGTGCGGAAATGTTTTCCTTCACCCGTCTCCTCGCCCGCGGGGGGCTATCTCCCTGCCCATCCATCGACTTTTGTGGTATAGTGAGTGTGTGTTGACGTGAGTCTCTGTGTGTGTGATACGAACAGGGATTTTAACAGGGCGTGGCGATGGCTGCACTTGTATTGATAGAGTGGCGTGTCTTATTCAAAAAGAGTGATGGCATTTATCGTTGTTCAATTAGAGCGATGTTTCGTTTTTAAGTTATGAATATGGGACATCGCTTAGTAGCGACGTGCGTGCGCCATTCAAGTGAAGCAATGTTCCAAAATTATCACCCAAATAGAGGGACGGAAGCAAGCTACCTTCACTTGAAAATACGAAATTGGAAGCATTATTGCGTCGTTCTACCAACCAAGAGCGACGCGCGTGAGGCATTGGTGTTTTCGCTACTTGCGGCGGAGGTGTGAACACTAACCTGCTTGCAACTTGCAACAGTGTTAATAAAGGCTGTGTTTTTTTAAAACCTGTAACAGGATTAAAGAAAGGACCTTTCTTCCATCCGCTTCAATATAAATTTCTTTTCTAGCACCTCTTTATATTTCCACCTTTGTGTATGGGCTCCTCGGCACGTAGATTAGGGCTGCAAACACTGAGCGGGAAAGGGGGTGGAGACGGTAGCGGTAAAATGGCTAGGTGGGATGGTGGGGCAAGAGGTCAGCCCTCCGGGGACCGTTTGTTTCTTGAGCTTCAGCTGTAATGCAGCAACAGCGTATAGTAGTGCAGCCCCTCCCACTCGCATTTTTGCTCACCATCGCCCCTACATTCGCCACGATCATCGCCTCTGCACACGTTCGGGCGCATCCTTCCTGTTACAGGCTCGAGCCGATGACTATTTTTCATTTACCGAATGACATAACACGCGGTGAAGCCATTCGTTGTGGTCGCATTTCGTTTCTTTGTGGCTCCTCACTCGTGAAACAAACTGCTGCACTTAAGCCGAGTGTGCTCGCTCGACCACGCCCTGCCACCTTAGAATGCGGGCAGCCCAACTACGAGAGTGTAAATGTGTGAACGTGCGGAAGTGTATGTGTGTGTGTGAGAGAGAGGCAGGAAGGGGGAAGGAGGGAGGGGTAGAGAGAGAGAAGGATAATGCTTGGGGGACGGCATGTTTTGGAGAGTGTTGTACTTTGAGTGACCACCAGTGACCACCTTACTGAATTTGATTAGTGGCCCGTAGTGTGTCTCTCGCAGCGAATGTATGATTGACAACCGTTTGTGGTTTTTGGTCTGCCATAATTTAGCGAAACTACAGTTTGCGTTCGCCGGTTTTTTTGTAATTCCTGGACATCAGACTGAAGTTGAACTGAAATTTGAAATGCATTGATCATGTTAGACACCATAAATGTCCACAATGGCTTGGCATGTTTAACTGGACTGAAACATTATACTTGTTATTTCGAAAGTGTAATTGGTATCTGTACAGATCGACGTCTGTTTACTGACGTTTCATGCCTGATTCTAGTCTCTGATATGTGACGAAAAGTTTTAGTTCCTTGTTCTAAGTTGAAACGATAACGTGAACAGGAGTGAATAAGCCTATAGATTTGGCTCGTGAACCAATGACGTAAACGTTTTCTAGTTCTTAAGCGAGGTGTGTTGCAAGAAAGAAGATCGGACCACATATCGAATGGAGTTGACATATCCAGCTCACATTGCAATACGCATTGAACGCGTAAAATTTGTATGCTAAAAATCAATTATTACTGTACATATTGTGTAAATAAGCTAAAAATATTCATGGTGATATTATGTCGCGTACTGTCGTACTGAAATTATGGATGTATCTATGCTAGAAAGCGTTTTATTTTAAACCATTCCAAATACGTTGTATTTTTTTCCTGGTGAAATGTTTTTGTGTCATTTTCCATCTGTCTAAATGTGTACATATTACGGTAAAGTAATGTTATATTTTGCAAATTTGTTGAATTACTGCTTTGTATCCAGTTAATGAGAGTAGCAGTAAGATGTTGCCCACTCGCCGTCGAAAACGGTAAAATTTTACTGAAAAAATTAAACAAAACTTAAACAGTATTTATACTCTGCAAACTCGGAGCAAAAGCAGTTAGTTGATCCAACTTGCACTCATGTTTATTTGGACTCAACTTTAATTCTCACTAATGTGAATTACTGTGTTCTTTCAAATTTTGCGATAGTGCATCTGTTGGAGTTTCGCGAATATAGCCTTCGGAAAGCCAAAAATACTCTTAAAATGGGAACTTGTTTTGTCAAACCAAATCTATATACTGTTCGTTACCTCTGCGACATTTTCACAGCTTCAACAAATTATGTTCAAAATTGTACGCTGCAATACAGCTGCCTTTCCGTTCACATAATGTGTTAAATGATACCTGTTTCCAAACCAAATCATGTATAATTTGGATAACCTAACTGTTTTTTTTAAGTGCGTTACTATTATTAAGTGTAAGTCTTCGTGGACTTGGCGTTGATGTTTCTTTCCTTGTTTGTTATGTGTATGTTTTGTTGAATGGCGCCATGTTCCCCTGCTCAAAGTGCGGTTTTATCAGAAGAAATGACGTATTAAAGAACTAGAATAACACTGTATGACCTTTATTCGAGCCTACCTCTCTATACCTTCAGCTGAGTACGCCTGTCTGGCATTTGCCTCTCTCTCAGGTTTGTACCAGGCAGCAGAGACGAAGAGAGACACAGAGAGAGAGGGGTCCCTTGACGAAGAAGGAAAACAAATGAGATTGGGGCAGAAACAAACGAGAACGTCTTTAGAGGAGCTTGTGCAGGGTCCAGAGGTGGGGGCAGGGGGGAGAGGGGGCGTGTTATCGGGGCCCGGGGGCCTACCTACTATGCAAATGACATCGTTATTGCCAATGCATTCCTTATTGAGACAGGGGCCGGCCAGCTTCATGCCGATGGGCTCCGTCTGTCCTAATGCTTTCATTTCCGATTTCCTTTCCTCAACAAAACGAATCAGTGCGAATCCGGCCCCCGCGTTCCCCTTTGCGTTGCGCGCCGGCCGGCCTTTTGTCTGGAGTATGCGCACGGCCGCTGCGCCGCAGGCGCGCCCTGCACTGTGCAGATAACAAAGACAGACTTAACGGGTATTTTGCGAGAAGACAACAATGAGCATAATCTAATTTAGGAGACGAAAAACGGCAACACTAAGGTACCGAGTGAGTGCAGGATTGTGCGTGCACTTCGGCTGGCGCACGCAGTGCACCGGCCAGGATTACCGGCCTTTGCGGAAACAATGTGCGACTCCTTGCAACTGATCGAGGCCGCCCCCCCCTCCGACCCACTTTGCTCCGGCTAAAGTTTTAATTGAAATTCTCCCACGCGAGATTGACGTGATGCGTGATGCATCGGGAGCGGTGGGAGGGCCTCGCACGCGCCGCAGCAGAGGAGCGCCAGGTTTGGCAAGGAGAAGAGAGAGCGAGAGCCCTAAGAGGACCTATAAGACCTCTCCGTCCTCCTCCTCTCGCTCCCACACGCCTGTGAGCGCAACCCATACCTGTGCTGTTCGCTTGTCGCGTGCACACAGTGTGCGCGCCACTCACAGGGGGTGGCATTGCTTGTTGTATGTAAACAGCTGCAGTATAGAATATATAGAGGTATAGGCTGGGGGAGAGAGAGACGTTGAAGGGTGAAAGATGACTCGGTGCAGCTGCCCCGCGAGTGCACATCATTTCAATGCGGCCCCGCCTCGCCCCGCCACGCCCCGCCTCGCCCCGCCACGCCCGCCACTCCTCGCCAGGCGCCGCCACTCCCCGCGACGCCCGCATACCCACAGGGGCCCAGCCTCCGGAAATGTTTTGCTCCGCCTCGGTAGTGTTTGCTCTGGCTGGCTGCGGGTAGGGGGACTGAGACGGGGAGAGAGAGACAGGGAGAGAGAGACAGGGAGAGAGCGAGAGAGAGAGACAGAGAGAGACGGAATAAGAGAGAGGGAAGATGAGAGGGTGCGTGTCGGCGCGAACAAGGCAAACGCGAGAAACCGCGAAAATTAGCAGCAGACGCGAAACTTTTTACTCCACCGAGCAGGCGAACAGCCGGAGGGGGCAGTGAGTGTGGGTGTGTGTTGCTGCGTGGAAGGGCGGGAGGGTGGTTTCGGGGTCGCACACAGTGGAGCAGGCCCAAGTGCATTTACTTTTCTCTCTCGTGGTGGCAAAAGTTGAAGCTCCTGTCGCCCCGTAGTCGGACACTGGCGCAGCCGTCGGTCGGAGGTTAGGAGGGGAAGAGGCGGGGGGGAAGGGGTGCAGTACTTCGTACCACCCCTGAGGAATTTTTTTTGGTCCTCATTGCAGTCTTCCGGTTCTTTCCTTCTTTTTACCTCGCCGACACCCGAAACAACTTTTAACGAAATGTGCAACCGCTCAACATTTGTAAGTGGCAGTTGTATTTCCGCAAGTAACAATGTGTACTTTCACGCGTTCACCTAATCAGAGTTGTTCTCGTGGTGCAGGTACAACAAATTCGTCCAACACGAGCAAGTGTTCAACAGAAGAGTTTGAACAGTTATATCATGACCAGAACGGACTAGTTGAACTCGTGCCACTGCATCCACTTGCAAGTGTTGGACGTTTGCTGCAAACTTGGTTGATCAGTTCGGGCCTGGTGGCGTACCCCGCTGGCCCATCACTCAGCGCTGCGTTGCCTGCCGATGGCCTCATCTGCAAATCAATAGGATACCGGAAGATATTTTCTCTTCGAGGAAAAGAATTCGAGCGGAGGCTGGGCACATTCCTATATCCCTTTGTTTTTCACAAAGTAAACGGCTCCATGTCGCAAAGTGTATATTTCAGACACGTACAATTTGTTTGATTTAGCCTTCATCATGTGAATTGTTATCAGTGCTTATCGAGCTGTCCAGGATCAGTCATCCGGTGTAGCATCCCCCACCCACCAGTTCCCTCTGTGCCTTCTCCCAGTGACTCCCCCCCCCCC